AAAGCATTGATCAATGTTGCATTCCTAAGGTTAGCTGGCTGTTTCTGTTCTCAAACCTCAACCCTGTTCTCAGTATGATGTTTGCTTGAGGGCAAGCAAAAGCTAAGTCTGGGGAAGTTGATATATCATGGTTTTTAACCATGGTATAAGTCTTTTTTATTGAGTCTTTTTGGTCTTTTTAGAGTCCTAGTAGAGTCTTTGCAGGTTATAGCATGACTGGAGCACAATTGGAGGTTTGAGCTTTTTGGATCATAGCAATAATCATGCCCGAAGTTAGCAGCTCAGAAGGCGTTGATTGGCATTGGTGACGATCGTCACCACTCAAGGGTGATGCTCGTCACCAGCATATGAGAAGGAGTCACGTGTTCTATTAAAAGATGGAGATGAATTTGCACTTTTGGCGCAAGAGTTCCATTATTTAAAAGAAGACCCCAGCTTATGTTTTAGCTTGTATATTAGGTTTTTCAGCTATTGTTGGCTTTTATCTTGTATCTTAGATTTCAGAGACCTTTTGAGAGAGATATTATGCAGAGATTTGAGGGAGACAAATCATGTACTCTTTTAGAGAAGATTTCAAACCCTTGTTTCTCTCTTCTTATCTTTTTAATGCAGTATTATTCAGCTATTATTTGTTCATTCATAATCATGTCTGAGTAATCTGTTAGTTAAGTTAGGATGATTTAAAGGTTGATGATTAATTTGTAGAATTGCGTTAGGAAAATCTATTGGTTCTTTATTTGTGCTTGCATTCATATCGATTTCTTAGACTAATCATTTAGATTTCAAAACCCTAGGTTGTTTAATAGATGTGAGAACATTGTTAATCACATGAACTAGTATTAGATGAACAAAACGCCTATATGCAAAGAGATTTGACTTAGGAGTTTTGTGAACAATCGAAACCTGATCGCTAATGCATGCTTGACTTGTTAGAATTTGCAAAGAGATTTGAAATTCTGTGATTTAGGCATAGAAAACTTCTGCAATGAGAATTGAATAGTTATATCATTGAGTTTTGAGTTCTAGACGGTTTTAATTCATTCCTGATTGCATGCATTCTACATTCTCGGATTCAACATGTGTATTATCTTGACTTAGCGTCTTTAGAACATGTGTATTATCCTGACTTAGCGTCTTTAGCTTTCTGAACTTTAGATTAATCAATAAAAATTGTCTGCTTTCATTATTCTAGTTATTTCACATCACATTCATTCATTACTGCTTAGCTTAATCTAAACCTAAAATCTATAGTGTAGTAAATTACTCCCTTGTGATTTGATAACCCTTTGTGCTAAAACTATTTTGCTGTGCACTTGCAGTAGTAAAATAATTGGGTAAAACTTAGAACATATCAGAAGATGGTCTATGTATAATAGATATGGGTACATTTCCAGCGAAAAAGGGTTTTCGGGAGAGTGATTCTTCCTCTTAGAGCCCGTCGGGCATGTTCTCTAATTTGCTTTTGTAACAATCTCGTCCTCCTCGTTCAATATAATCACCCGAGTCACATAATGCAATATCCTTGTTTTAAACTACCATCACCCTAGACAATGTGATCATCTCACATGTATTTACACACATTTGTAATTGGTTGTAATACCATTTGTAATGGGTTTCCACGCGTTCTCTTGCCACATAAATTATATCCTCATTTGATGGTAGTTGCGATATTTTGTGTTTTTGAGTGATAAATGTCTGAATAGAAAATATTGGTGTTAAAAGTTAATATTTTTAAATATAAATTACTCGAAAGGCATGAGTAATTTTAAGGAAGGCAGACTCAAAGAGTGTCCCGAACCGGTTGCGAATCCGAAGAACCATAAAATTGAAGTAAATAGCTTTAGTATAAGAGCATTTACAAGAGAAAGAATAAGATTTAATTTTTGAACGGATGAATAAGTATAGAATGCTAGTGTTGAAAGCTAAATCATCCGTTCAATAACTAGAAGGATTAAAAAATTATCCTTCTAATCCTTACTCTTCCTCTTGTTTTAAACCTATTCAATCGATAGCTATTTAAACTGTGTTTAATATCTCTATTTACTGTTTGCAATTTTTTCATAAATGCATCTGCTCCATTGGATTTACCTGTTTTGAATCAAAATGTTGAATTAGTTTTTGTTTAAATAATTCCTTATTTAATATCTGAATGTTACTCGTAAGTTTTAGATTCCGAATATTGGATTAAAATATTTTTAAGATAGACTTCACAACATTTCCTCTTCAATAAAATAACTCGTTGTTAAACTTACAAACTTTTTTATATTTACATGAGCCTAAAAATTTTGAATGAGGATTTACACCTAATAGTAATCAATCAACAACCATCAAAAAATTAATATAAACTTAAAACTACGCAATTAATTCTAAATTCTAAATCCAATAATCTATAATGATTGACCCATCCATGCCCATAGTAGTAAAATCAAGGCCCATAGAAGAAATATGCCTAACCCCGCTTATCTTATCATGACGTGAGAATGTGAGATGTTCACGCTTAGGCTTCAGACTACCTTCAGAAACATTTTACATGGAGACAAGTAATTAAAGCCCATTCACACTATTGTTTACATTTTGGAGTGTTGGGGGACGTGGCATCATATAAATCTCCACATATGATGATGCGAGTCTGTGTTTATGTCACATATGTTTTTGACTTAGAGTTGAATGTAGCAAATAGCAATCTCAATCAGGTTGTCTCGAAGTATTTCGAGATTCTGTGTAATTGTTTTTACTAAACCTATTTTTGACGTGAATTTTGGTTTTAAATAAGGGTTTAATGTTATTTACTTATTCCAATAAATCTTGTTTCTGAGGGTTTAAATTTATACTCAGGTTATCATATTTCATAGCGATTTGACGCCAATCCTCTACCACATTCAATTTGTTTACTTTCTTTTCTGAAATTGGACGAGTATGGTTTTTTTTAAAACTAATTTGGCCGAGTATGCTAACATAGGATTATGTTCATCAATGATACCCACTACTTAAATTCGGACAACTTAAGTCTGGACTAGCCAAGAAATACATTCTCATAAAGAAGAGATGTTTTTCTTTAGGATATTATTAATCAGATTTGCTATAAAATATAATAGAATAGAATATATTATTATTGAGTTGTTTGTGTTGATTATACAAGATAATAAGATACATATATATAGTGATTAACATAAACATATTGTTAATATCATATAATGTAAGTTTTAGTGGAGTAACTTGGGACACAAAATGTGTATCTTGTGGACCGCCTATGAAATGAAACCCGTAAGCCTATAAAGACTAAATGGAAAAACTTGAAAACCGAGACATTATATTAAATGTGTTAGATTAAGATTAGTAAAGTTTACATTATATGTTATTAACAATATGTTAATGTTAATCACTATATATATATGTATCTTATTATCTTATATAATCAATACAAACAACTCAATAATAATATATTATATTCTATTATATTTTATATGGTATTAGAGCGTTTTCAATTCTAAAGGATCAAAATTAAAATTCCGCATTAATAGTTTTGATCTTATTTTTAAGATCAACGAAACAATGATCATCGAAGAAGATGGTGGTGACGAAAGATTATCCCAATGACAACGTCAAGCCATGGTGTTTGTGTCCACGTCAAGTTTTTAATTAATAAGTTAATGGATTTTTAGTTTAATGGTTTTGTTTCCTGCGATCTGTTTTCAAGTCAAAAAAAAGTTTTGGTTTAAATTTTGATTTCTGATTTGTTTTATCACACATGTTTTAGTCGAGATCTTGGAGTAATTATTAAGTTTTATGGGTTTGGGGTTTTCATAATATTTTTTTTTCTAAAATTAATTTTTATAATAACAATTTTTTAGAATTTTCTATTTCTTTTAACTTCTTCTATTATAGAGAAGTTTGATTTTGGTTTTAGAGATTTCTATTGGAACACTCATGTTTTTAAGTCATTCTTTAGTCCAATTTCTGTACTGTCCAAAATAGGATAATTATTTGTGGAGTTGCAGAAGTTTGCATCTACGAGATGTTATTATTTCCTTTATTTTAAGACCAAAGACAAGCTGAAGTTCCATCTTTATGAAGATTGAAGTTTGTACCCGGAGGAGTCAGTTAATCTTCGATATGATTGTCCACGATATACGTGTTCTGTTTGATGATTTCGCATACCATGTTTGTCGTGCGGAGGTGTATTGGAGTAACTTGGGACACAAGATATGTATCTTGTAGACTGTCTATGAAGTGAAACCCGTAAATCTATAAAGACCGAATGGAAAGACTTGAAGACCAAGACGTTATATTAAATGTGTTAGATTTAGATTAGTAAAGTTTACATTATATGATATTAACAATATGTTAATGTAATCACTATATATATTTTATTATCTTGTATAATCAACACAAACAACTCAATAATAATATATTCTATTTTATTATATTTTACACTTGCCCCATTGTATCCAGTGTGAACCTGTAAAAAATTCCAGAATAACTTGGGTCAAACCCGATTTAGTTCTAAGAAAATGTTAACCATAAATATTGTTTCTAATCAGGTTCTGAATAATTTATAATTGGTTCAAAATTCAGTCATACGCCATAAAAAGAAATAGTTGAAAACCAACTAAAATTATCCCGGAAATTTAAGTCCTATAATCGAGTTTAATTAAAAAATGTTTTTTTAATAAAAACATGGAGTATATATAAAGATTCTAACCGGGCATTGTGAAGAAAAAGAGAAGATTCTAGTGTTCTATTTTTTGCCAACAACAACAATTTATCGTGTAGTCACACAAAAATTAAGAAAATAAAAATAATTTAGAAAGACATATATTCATTTTTCTCCACAAAAACATTATCTCCTCAGAGAGACTAAGGTAAGGACAATTGGGCGACGTGGACGCACTGAAAGCCCGTCAACAGATTTTCTTGATATCTCTTAATCTTTACTTCCACACCACAACACTTCAGTGTACCTCAGACGCACAAAGCAGCACAACCCACAAAACAAAAAAATGGCTCAAACCATGCTGCTTACTTCCGGCGTCTCTGCGAACCAATTCTTGAGGAACAAGAGCCCTTTGGCTCAGCCAAAAATTCACCATCTTTTCCTTTCCGGCAACTTTCCGGTTTCTCTACCATCTCGAAGACAATCATTCGTTCCTCTCGCTATCTTCAAACCCAAAACCAAAGCCGCCCCCAAGAAGGTATATATTTACAGATCCTTTACTTGAGCCACAAGAAACATTGCTGTGTACGGATGATAATGTTAAGATCGTTTTATACATTTTAGGTTGAGAAGGTGAAACCAAAGGTTGAAGATGGTATCTTCGGAACATCTGGTGGGATAGGTTTCACGAAGCAGAACGAGCTCTTCGTTGGTCGTGTCGCTATGATCGGTTTCGCCGTAAGTCCTTTCTCTTTCTCTCTTAGACACATAAACTTTTGTTACAAGAAATAAATGTTGAGTTTCATGGATAGGCATCGTTGCTGGGTGAGGCGGTGACGGGGAAAGGTATATTAGCACAGCTGAATCTGGAGACAGGAATACCGATTTACGAAGCAGAGCCATTGCTTCTCTTCTTCATATTGTTCACTCTGTTGGGTGCCATTGGAGCTCTCGGAGACAGAGGAAAATTCGTCGACGATCCTCCAACTGGACTCGAGAAAGCCGTCATTCCTCCGGGGAAAAGCGTTCGATCTGCCCTTGGTCTCAAAGAACAAGGTCTCTCTCAAGATTTTACTTTCTGTCTTTGTTTCAAATGTCATTGGTCTGAACAACTAATGCGTAGAATTTAACCTGATGTGTTTCTTAAGTAGTAGGAGAGACGACTTAGGGAAATGCCAGAAACTCGATTGCTCTTAAACGAAAGATTCAAATATTCTTTAGACTATCTGGTCACTATAGGGCTAGAGTCTTGTGTCAGGGTCTAAATATACAAGTCGGTCTCAAAATAGTTTGAAGTAACATATAGTTCTCATCAAGAAGTAAAAAATCTAAAGCATTGAATTGAAGTAGCCTTAATTTACTTTTTAAATGAAGTATAGTTTCCGAATCTCCTCTTTGTTTATTTAACTTTAACCTACGGTACAAATATGATATTACTGAATTGTAGTTTAATCCGTATATGTTTGTTATTTGGTTGTGTGAAGGTCCATTGTTTGGGTTCACCAAGTCAAACGAGTTGTTCGTTGGAAGATTGGCACAATTGGGAATAGCATTTTCATTAATAGGAGAGATTATAACCGGGAAAGGAGCATTGGCTCAACTCAACATTGAGACCGGTATACCAATTCAAGATATCGAACCACTCGTCCTCTTAAACGTTGCTTTCTTCTTCTTTGCTGCCATTAACCCTGGCAATGGAAAATTCATCACTGATGATGGTGAAGAAGAGTAATCACTTTATGTACCGAAAGTGAGTAGATTGTGAGACCATCTTCATGTTGAGACAGAAGGAAATGAACAGCTTAAACTGTTGTAATACTTAAATACTTTTGTTTTAACTTGGATTTTTCTGATTATATATGTAGTTTCTTCCCTAGTTTCGTTACACCTAGGTGATTAGGGTGATTAATATCATTTTCTCATCTTTGATTGACAAAACTGAGATTCGAAAAGATTGCCCATGAAATATTGATGGGTTAGATCAAAAAGTTACGTAGAAACAAAAAAAGAAGAATGGGTACAACAAAGATTGACTTGATAGCATCCGAAGGGAGATGCTAGCTCTCTCTCTCTCTTCTCTCCCGTATCTTTCAGATAGAGAGTGGTTTTTTTGGTTTTTTGTTTTTTAGTTTTCCGATCTTCGGATAATAAAATCCGGTTCTTCCGGATTTTTGTTTAAGTGTTTGTTCCGTTTATCGGAAGTTTTATTATGAATTACCCTATTGTATGTGTTATGTTTAATTCCAGAAGCTTCTAATTAATCTCTCTTTTTCATTAGTTATGCTTGATTTCTTTCTTTCCGGAGATTAATAATCTTCGTCACTGTTAAAGGTGGAGTCTCTCTGTCGAAAGTCTCAAATCAAGCTTTCGGAATTTGAATTGGAAGAGGTGGAGTAGAGTAGGTAGAGCTAGCATCTCCTGGAGCAAAATCTAAGCATTCCCGCGAAATTTCAACTTTTTCGGCAAGTTCCTGCGCATCACTTCTAGTGAAAAAATTGAGCTAGTTAATTAGCTTGGTGATTAGATGTAAGAGGAAGGAGCGGTTTTCTAGGACTAAGCAGTTTCACGGTGGTGGGTGAAACCGGCAAATGTAGCAGCTCTGCAATAATTTTTCTTGTCGGCAAACACGTATATTTTCCTTGCTTTGGTTTGCTTTCACGTTGTATACACGTGTTCATTGCTTGTATTTAGTTTAATGAGTTATGTTTGGGCTCAATAAATTTGTAAACTGCTCTACCTTTAATGAGTTTCAATATAATCAGAAAACGACTAAAAAAAATAAACTTCATAGTATTTTCAATTATTTAAAAAAAAATAAAAAATAAAATAAAATAAATTTTCTTCTGGTGGTGTTCTTTAATTTGGATTCTGTCAAGAATTTGGTCCATGGTTAAGCTAGCTTTGTAATCTGTTGTTGCTTTGGTACCTTCGAAGACATCAGATCTACTATTTCAATTTTAAAGAAGACGATTAGAGATCACTCAAATGTACTATCTTTTCTCAGATATGCTGTTTTCTTTCAGACCTACTATTCTCAGTTCATCACTGGAAGGATAAAACATTTTACAATTCAAATTTCAATGTTCTATTCCCTAATTTTGGGTGTAATTTCAATTTTTTTTTTTTACCAAAGCCAGATCAGCAGCAGTTCTCCGGGATAAAAAATCTATATACATACTCCAGTTTTGAATATTCATCTTACTCCCTCACTCTATAGTGCCAGCTATTAGCTTGTATATATTTTTTATATCTTTAGTTATATTAACTTTCCTTTATAATAGATTGTATTTAGGGTTAGCGTGAAACTTGTACATGTATATATATTTTTTCATATGAAATAAGAACAATACGGCTCTAACTGGTGACCATAATGAATGGAAAAGAATACTAAATTCCTTATCATTCTTTAAAAATTATACCATTTAAAAGAAATATATTATACCCATGATTCCTTCTCATTCCTTATGTTTTAGGGAACTATAATGTTAATATATTCCTTATAAAAAATGAGAAGGAACAATAATTCCTATTATTTTGTTCCTTTCATTCATTTTCCTATTCATTCATATTGTTACTTTTATGGTCACCAGTTAAAACCTACAACAATCTTTTAACTTTTTGTCATAGTACTAGAGCGTCTCTAATAAAATTCTCTATATATTAATTGAGAAGTAATTTTAGAAAGTAACCTTATTTTTGTAAATATTTAAAGTGGTATCATTATGCTATGCGTCAACCCTATATTTATTCTCTGCTAATTTTTTAAAAAGACTTAAATTACTATACTAATTACATGATATACCATTGTATGTTTTAGGTCCACACATATGTTATGTTTCATTTTTAAATGAATTCAAAGGAAATAATACTATAAACAATAATTTAATAGAATAAATTTGTCAATGCTAATTATAATATAATAAAATAATTTATTATATAATAATTTTAAAATATTATAAATAAATATTTCATTATAAATTCATAAAAAAATATATAATACTTTTAAATCTTTTCTACTTTTATCATTCATAACAAAATATATAATATTTTTAATGTTTAATACTTTTTTCAAAAAAATATGTTTATTAATTATTCATTAAAAATATTTTTTATAGATACAACAGAAAATTAAAAATTATATTTTATTTTCCTCAAATTCATAATAAAATATATATTACTTTAATAATATTTATTTTTTGTCAGAAATCTTTTTTTATTAATAGTTCATTAAAAATATTCTTATAAATATAACATAGTAATTTAAAATAATAATTTATTTTTCTCAAAAATTATTCAGAACGTATAAAAGAAAGTCATATTAATTTGTTCACATAATGATGTAATTATAGCATGCACAAAAATAATTATGAAAATATATATAATACTTGAAGATAAATATTTTAATGTATATTTTTTAACAATTCAGAATAATATTCACAAAATATATTATTATTACATTATTTTTGTCAAAAATCAATCAGAAAAAGTCATAGTGACGAATTTTCAAAATTATTCTGATATATATTATTACTATTCGGATTTACTATATAAGGAAATATAGCATATGATATTATTACTTACTTTATATATGGTTCTTAGATGACGATTATGGCATATAACATTATTGCTTACTTTTTTTGGTAAAATATCATAATATGATGATACTAATATTAACTGCTTAATTTCTTTTGAATTAATGTTTGATTTATCATATACCAAATTCTTTGCAAGATTTTTGTGTGTTTCTTTTATTTTTCTTAGTGGTTAGAAAATGTTTCAATTTGTTCATCTATTAAATAAATTACCGAAAAAGTTTTAGTTTGTCGGATTCAAATCAATTAATATAATTACAATAGAAACTCTTTAAATTAATAATATTGTGACTTTAATATTTTATTAATTTATCTATTTTTAATTAAATAATTAAATAAAAATAGTATGTGTTTAGAAAGTTAAAAATATCTTTAAATATTTTACTTTTAAATGGTATATAAACCATAACATTATTCCAACTTTTATAAAAACAAACAATTATATATTCATATTTTAGTAAATTATCGTAGTTATATATTAAATTTTATTTTATGATAATTATTAATTTATAAAATTAATGAAACCATATATTTACAAAAGTTTTTTTTAAAAAACTTAAGTTTTTTTGGTAATTTATATTTACATACTGTGTTTTATAACTAGACAATGCCCATTGATAAATGGTATTAAAGAGCAATCTATGCTTTTATATGCAAATTTATTTATTAAAATACTTTTATATTTTGGAAAATATTTTTTGATAAAATATTTGTAGATTTAATAACAGTTTTTTATGTAACAAGAATAATTATATCCATTAATCTATGGTTATAGTTGTTGCTTTTCTAATTTTGTTGTGTTCTATATGTTTTTTGTTTTCAATTATTTTGATCGTATACATATTCAAATACTTCTGATTTTAAATTTAAGTATCCACTTTTTATATTAAAATTCTGATTTTTTTACAAATTAACAAATATAGTATATGTAAAGCTTTGGACATTGGTGAAAACACTGAATCATGTCGTTTATCACAAGATATATAAGATTTATATAGCGACTTCATAACTTTACCCAACCAAACATTAGTGATGTGGACATCAAGTCATCATCAGCCAAAGAGCACGGATCCATGAGTCATAAAGTGGAGAACATAAAGCTGAGGAGAGCTAAAGAGACATGCGAGTGGAGTTCAGCTCAAACGTAGGCTGATATCAAACATTCAGGCTCGACCAAAACTTTGAGAGCATACTAAACTCATCCAGAGTTCATCACGAAGAAGAATCACCCAAAAAGGAGTTCATATGAAGAAGATATTGAAGATGCAAGTTGGAAGATCTTCAATGGACCCGATGGAGATATGCGAGTACTAATTAAATCGTTCCAGCCAAACCACGACGAATCAAGCCACGAAACCAAATGTTCTGGAAACCTAATTCATCAGGGAACCGAGGAAAATTGTATTCATGCCAAAATTTGTTACGGTTTAAAAGTTATTCACTTTCTAAACCAGAGGATGCTCAACTTGCCTTATATGAGAGCTGGCGAGATTAATCACTTGCAAACCAAACTTTGGCGACCAGGAGAGGCATAAAACCATCCAGGAGAGATAATAAACCAATCAGAAGAGTCATCTAGCATCTTACCATACACCATCACTGATAGGATCAGACGGATCCCATTGCTTACAAACTTACCATATCAAGACATGTTCACACTTGGAGCAAAGGAGCACCAACGGCTACTTCCTCAAAGCTACAACTTTTTGGAGCTATTATCTACACATCCACACCTCTTAAGCTACACCAGAACACACCTGATCAGGCGGATCATATTCAAACTCAACTTACCAATCTTGGAGCAGAATTCCATTAAACTACAAAAGCTAGTTTCTAGCCAAGAATTCAGCCTTTAGAATGATTCTTTGAGAAGACAAATCGTCCCACAGAAGTTCACTTACACCCTCAAGCCATCCAGATACAAAGTCAGCAAATAATCCCTTGATTCTAGCCATTTCCCCCATCACTCATCAAATAGGTCAAAAAATCCCTTTAATCATTCTTTTTGATCATTCTTTGATTTTTGCTTAATTCTCTCTTTAGAGTTATTGTGTAGGACGAACTGAGCACTATATAAGCTCATAGTTATTTCATTTGTAAGACACCACTTTTATCTAAGAAAATATAAAAACTTTGTTCT